ATACTGTGACTTTAATTGTCCTATAAATTCTTCAAACTTTTGGTATGCTAGATGTATATGTTTCTTATTTTTCATCAGAGAATGAAGTTTTAAAGGTCATCTTAGGTGTGTTTGGGCTTTTTTCCAATTTAACATGAATGAAAAGGGTAGAGAGTTCTATACCATCTAAAAGTGGATATGAGATTTTGGAGGGTAGGGTAGAGACATGTTATTAAATCTACATGTTATAGTTTTTTTTTTTTTAATTATTTTTGGCTGCGTTGGGTCTGTTGCTGCACACAGTCTTTCTCTAGTTGCAGCAGCGGGGGCTACTCGTCGTTGTGGTGCGGGAGCTTCTCATTGTGGTGGCTTCTCTTGTTGTGGAGCACGGGCTCTAGGAGTGTGGGCTTCAGTAGTTGTGGTGCACGGGCTTCAGTAGTTGTGGCTTACGGGCTCTAGAGCGCAGGCTCAGTAATTGCGGCGCACGGGCTTAGTTGCTCCGCGGCATGTGGGATCTTCCCGGACCAGGGCTCAAACCCGTGTCCCCTGCATTGGCAGGCGGATTCTTAACCACTGCGCCACCAGGGATGTCCCTAGATGTCATAGTTCTTCTTCAGGTGTGATAGCCTATTAGAGTCTGAGCTGTGAAGTCACGTCTTATCTCAAACAGAGTGAAGAGTTTAGACTTATTAATATCTTTTAAAGGTTTTTTTTTTTCTCTTCTAATTTGGAACCATTTCTGGAAAATGATTAAAACCAGGCTACATACTTAAAATGGAAAATGGCACCTGCTTCATCATCGTGTGTTGCCAGACTTCCCGTCTCTGCATGTCCTCCTGGTTTTTGTTGGGATGGCTCTAAATCTTTTGTTCAGTTTTTATGCATTCTTGGCTTTGGAAATAGTTTGACAAAGTGTTTCTGAGACTATTTTTCTGAAGTTACTTAAATCTTTAATTGACTTTCAGTTTCTGTATTCTTGACCACTAACACACTAGGGGATTTTTAAAAGTCTCCCATTCACTTATCCTCAGATAACATGAAACCTTCTTGACTTACTTAAAAGGATTGTGTGAAAGCTGAATTTTTTTCTTCTCAATGTACTGCTTTGTATTTATAGCTGTCAGTTGGAAAATAAGATTATTTTATTATCTTAAGATTTCCCTTTCTCTAGACTTTGTGCTTTCTAAAACCTACCATTTCTATTGCTGCAGAACAGAAACTTCAAAGGAAAAGCATGAGTTGTTAAAACGTGGAACTGTGTCTACCCTGGTTAGTTTTGTCGTTAAGGGAATAATGTCTGGGGCTGGACATTCTAGCCTTCATTTAGGAAGACTTATATACAACTCACCCTGGAGGGGAAAAAAACCAACCTACTCAAATATGCCTCGCTGGGCTCCAGCTCCCTACTTTAGGAGGTCAGCTGTATTGGAAAAGGCCAGTATGGGCATCTTGGTCTAGATGGAAGTAGAAGGACAAAACTGGCAAAGCCAAAGGGACTAATAGCCTAAAGCCCTTCAGGCTGTGATTGGTCAGAAGAAAGAAATGACAGAAAAATGTCTTGTGGTTATTCTGAACATGTTGAGGCTAGTATTCTTAGGAACTCTTTCCTGAGTGAGAAGGCTGTGGATTGAATGTTTCTGAACTTCTACAGTTCTAACATGTGGTCTGCTCTTCAGACACAGATTCCAACACAAACACCTCCAAGTAAAGAAAACTTTTTTTTTGTATGAACAGTTGAGTCATCAAGTGTGTTACACACAGAAACCTCATTTACAAATGTCTCGAAGAAAAAAAGTGGTGGTAATATCATCTTAAGCCATCACAGGACTATAAGATAGTTCAAATTACATACCCTTGTGCTGGCCCCTTCTAGGAACTGGGAATAGAGTGGCGAACAAAAGTCCCTGCCCTCGTGGAGCTTACCTTTGAATGGGGAAGGCAGACTACAAACATACGCATAATGTGTCACTAAGAGTTACAGGCTGGGAATAAAAATAAAACGAGGCAAAGTGTAGAGAGACGTGGGGGAGGGGAGAGGGAAGTCCTCCCTGCAGAGGTGACACTGGTGCAGAGCCTGAATAAGGTGACAGGCCATGCCAAGTGGAGTGGCAGTGGGTTAAAATGCAAAGACCCTGAAAGGTGCTAAATTTGCTGAGGTGAGAACAGGCTGAACCCGAGGAGGTGATTTTCCTATGTAGTTGCAAAGAATACCAGGTCAGTGAATTGATACTTTCCCCCATAACTTCTTGGTCTCCGCATTCATAGTTAATGCCTCATCTTTGTTCAAGTCAAGGACAAAGAGAAAAATGAAATCCAAGAGCAGAGCCCTTCATATCTGAAGGCAATATCTCTCATCCTTTGGTCAACCAGCCTAAGCACGGCTCACTGTCCGGCACCACCGCTCTTGTGCTATCAGAGCTCGTAAACTCAAAATGACATTTCTGATCCCGTGAGGACAAAGATACTACCTTTTTAATCCACTATTATATCCTTAACGTCTAGAACACTGCCTGACACATAACCGGCCTTCAGTTGTTGTTCACTGAACTTCATTGACTGAATCAGGCAAAACACTAAATTCATGCATGACTCCTCGAGAGCTCCTCGGACCTTCACTCAGCATCTGTCCCGTCTACACAGCACCTCTGGTTTCCAAAGCCAGAGCAAAGAACTGTAACTGGCCAGGCACATTGCTAGTAGCGAGGACTTTGATTGGGCAGCTTGTCAGGGTTTTCCCAAAGAGGGAAAAGCCATAATAATTTAAAATATAAAAGCAAAAGGTGACCTGAGGATTTCGCTGGTCCTAGATGTTCATAGTGAAGACCTTTAATCATCAGGGAGAGTTCAGTCTTGCTTAATGACTCCCAAAAGACAGGCAAGGCTGCCTTACAGTGGAGAAGCCTCTGAAAGCAATACGATATTTAGATTTACTTTTTGAAAGTTCTGCAAAGCAACATGTAGGTACAATCAGGTTCTTTTCTAATGTCAAATTAAGTTTCCTCTCTACTCCACTGGACCTCTCCTCTGTAGCCGATTAGCTTCTTGTGGTGCTAGTTAAACTGAGTTTACACAAAGTATATAATAAGGTTTATGCATGTAAACTTATCAACTATTAACAATTTGCTTTCACTCACAAACGTGGCTTAAGTCAACTGAACTCAAGAATTAATTAAAACAAATGTAACTGGGGCTAGAACATGCATTCTCAACGCGGGCTGATATCACCTTCAAGGGGGTGAAAATTGATTTTTAGATGGGGAAAAGTATCTTACTGTTTATATTCATAAAGCCCAAATATACATGCAGTACATAACAGTATATCTGTGACATTAAGATTTTATTGGGGTAGGGAGTAATAATGAAAAAAAAAAAGTTTGAGAAATACTGGGCTAGAAAGATCAAGCAACCTAGATCCTGCCCTGATGGAGCCTACATTCTTTTTTTTCTTTTTTAATTTTATTTTTTTATACAGCAGGTTCTTATTAGTTATCCATTTTATACATATTAGTGTATACATGCCAAACCCAATCTCCCAATTCATCCCACCAGCACCACTACCACCCTCCCTGCCGCTTTCCCCGCTTGGTGTCCATATCTACATCTATGTCTCCATTTCTGCCTTGCAAACCGGTTCATCTGTACCATTTTTCTAGATTCCACATATATGCGTCAATATACAATATTTGTTTTTCTCTTTCTAACTTACTTCCCTCTGTATGACAGTCTCTAGGTCCATCCACATCTCTACAAATGACCCAATTTCATTCCTTTTTATGGCTGACTGATATTCCATTGTATACATGTACCACATAATCTTTATCCATTCATTTGTCAATGGGTATTTAGGTTGCTTGTATGACCTGGCTATTGTAAATAGTGCTGCAGTGAACACTGGAGTGCATGTGTCTTTTTGAATTATGGCTTTCTCTGGGTATATGCTCAGTAGTGGGATTGCTGGGTTATATGGTAATTCTATTTTTAGTTTTTCAAGGAACCTCCATACTGTTTTCCATAGTGGCCGTATCAATTTACATTCCCACCAAAAGTGCAAGAGGGTTCCCTGTTCTCCACACCCTCTCCAGCATTTGTTGTTTGTAGATTTTCTGATGATGCCCATTCTGACCGGCATAAGGTGATACTTCACTGTAGTTTTGATTTGCATTTCTCTAATAATTAGTGATGTTGAGCAGCTTTTCATGTGCTTCTTGGCCATCTGTATGTCTTCTTTGGAGAAATGTCTATTTAGATCTTCTGCCCATTTTTTGATTGGGTTGTTTTTTTTTTTTTTAATATTGAGCTGCATGAGCTGTTTATATATTTTGGAGATTAATCCTTTGTCCGTTGACTCGTTTGCAAATATTTTCTCCCATTCTGAGGGTTGTCTTTTCGTCTTGTTTATAGTTTCCTTTGCTGTGCAAAAGCTTTTAAGTTTCATTAGGTCCCATTTGTTTATTTTTGTTTTTATTTCCATTACTCTAGGAGGTGAGTCAAAAAAGATCTTGCTGTGATTTATGTCAAACAGTGTTCTTCCTATGTCTTCCTCTAAGAGTTGGTTTTTTTTCTTTTATAAATTTATTTTTTATTTTTATTTTTGGCTGCGTTGGGTCTTTGTTGTTGTGTGTGGGCTTCCTCTGGTTGCAGCGAGCTTGGGCTACTCCGTTGCAGTGCACTGGCTTCTCATTGCAGCGGCTTCTCTTGTTGCGGAGCACAGGCTCTAAGTGCGCGGGCTTCAGTAGTTGTGGCACGTGAGCTCTAGAGCGCAGGCTCAGTAGTTGTGGTGCACGGGCTTAGTTGCTAGGCGGCATGTGGGATCTTCCCGGGCCAGGGCTCGAACCCATGTCCCCTGCATTGGCAGGCGGATTCTGAACCACTGCGCCACCAGGGAAGCCCCTCCTCTAAGAGTTTTATAGTGTCCAGTCTTACATTTAGGGCTTTAATCCATTTTGAGTTTATTTTTGTGTATGGTGTTAGGGAGTGTTCTAATTTCATTCTTTTATGTGTAGCTGTCCGGTTTTCTCAGCACCACTTATTGAAGAGACTGTCTTTTCTCCATTGTATATCCTTGCCTCCTTTGTCATAGATTAGTTGACCATAGGTGCGTGGGTTTATCTCTGTGGAGCCTACATTCTAAGGAAACTGGTTTTTAAAGTCATGCATGATCTGCCCTCACTCATGAGCTTCAAGCCACCCCCACATCTACTACACTCCAGCCTCTTGTACTGTGCTAGTCTATTGCTGTTCCAACTCTTCACTGCCTGTTCTTATGGGAAGATTTTACTTCCTGTCCCGCTGATGTCAGCCTTGGCCATATGACCTGACTTGCTTTGGCTGATGAAATGTGAGTGGAAGGGGCATGAGCCATTCCCAAGCAGAAGTTTTAAGCATCATCTTATGGTTTTGCCCCCTAACTTGTTCCTCCACCGTGAGCCCAACATGTTCTAGACAGGGGCTGCTCCTGGAATGAAGAGGACGTAGAGCAGAGCCAAAACATGGCGCACGTCAACAATGGACATGTAGCTTGAGCAAAAAGTAAAACTTGGCTTTTGTGAGCCCCTGAGATTTGGGAGTTTGGTTGTTACTGCATCACGACCCAGCGATAGATGACTGATGGACCCACCAATGCCCCCTGCTTTCTCTCCACCTCCAGACCTCCCCTCTGCTTAAAGACACTTCCCTTCTTGGTTCCTGGCCCCTCCTGCTGTCAGCTTAGATGCTTCTTTCTCTATTAAGTCAGAATTCCTCCCTGCCCCTCCCCACCAAAAAAATACCAGGCTAGGTGTCTCTAGTAGGCAGAATAATGTCCACCCCCAAAATGTGTCCATGTCCTAATCCCTGAAACATATAAATATGTTATGTCAAAACATTGCAGATGTGATTAAGGATTGTAACAAAAGATTATCCTAAATTAACCAGCTGTGCCCGATGTAATCATAAGGGTCCTTAAAAGATGGAAGAAGAAAGCAGCAGAGTCAGAGATGTCATGACAGCAGAAGTCAGAATGATTGAATAGCTGGCTTTGAAGATGGAGGAGGGGCCATGAGCCAAGGAATGCAGGCAGCCTCTAGAAGCTGGAAAAGGCCAGGAAGCAGATTCTCCCCTAGAGCCTCCGCAAAGGATTACAGCCCTGCCAGGACTTTGATTTGAACCCAGTGAGACCCACTTCAGACTTCTGACCTCCACGACTGTAAGAGAATAAACCTGTGTTGTTTTTAGGCACTTAGTTTGTGGTAATTTGTTACAGCAGCAATAGACTCTGATACGGTGTCCTTCCCTGGTTATGAACCCCAATCACACAGTAGTTCCCTAAACATAATACTGACGCTGAATTGAATTGCCTCTTAACTTTCCATCACGCCATCATTCTGGAATAAACAAACAACTTTCTAAACCAGAACTAATGAGGAACAGTGATGGGTGACAAAGGATTTCCCCAGGTAAAAAGAGCATTTTCTAAGTTGAAAGTGTATCTGAGTGTTAGTTTTTCATCGGGTGCTATGTTTATTTTAAAGCTGGATGGGAGTGAGAAAGTAGAAAACGGCCCTACTGACAAATAGTCAGCCATGTTCCCAGCTGGACATGAACAATACTCAGAACAAGACATTGAAAAGGCCACTCTTGTGAGCCCCCAAATTACTAACCCCCCCCCCCTCTGACAAGCATTCCTCCTTTCTGAGCAATTGCTGCTGTTTCACCAATAACAACTCAAGCCCCATTTTAACTCTCCTTCTAGGTGACAATCACTGAAGTACTCGATCACCCATTGCCCCTGCTTCTTGACAGCATCCAACCCAGAACAGGCCCCTGGTTCTTTAATGCCCCCCACAATCGTCCAACACAAACACAAACCCTAGAAGCAGCCCCTCTCGTCTCCCCGCTGGGATGCTCCCGAGGACGCCTTCTCCTTGGCCGCAGCAAGCTGGGTAAACCTAGCTTTGAAAGTTTGTGTTGTGTTTATCTGTTTTGACTACAGGTGTGGTCTTCGGTCCTCATATTTAATTCTAAATTCACAGACCCGCAAACAGGTCCGGAGACCCATCAGGGTCCTCTAATTAGCTATAAAAATGAGATCAAACATGTCTTCAGTTTGTTTTCATGTAGCCATGGGCTTGGACTGTTTGGTTACTGAACGTGTCAGCTTACCAGATCTGTCTGGCACCAGGTCTTCTGTTTACCATCTTGGCGAGAACTTTCCAGTAGCTTTTAGTCACTGGAGAAAACCTGCCATATTTTTTCAAATAATGCTTCGTCCTGTGGCAAAGCCGGATGCATTCTGATGAGAGTTTATCAGTGTGAGAGGAAGCAGGTGTGTGTTCCCCGCTGCCATCTGATTTCTTTCTTTGAGTTCTAGAAGCAGACACTCCATCAGCCACCCAAGCAGGGAATTGCCTTTCTACAGAAGGTAAACAAGAGGGTTTGCTTTATTTTCAGCCATAATATTGGACCTAAAAAACATTTCAAATCACTTTTTTTTTTTTTTTTTGCGGTACGCGGGCCTCTCCTGTTGCGGAGCACAGGCTCCGGATGTGCAGGCTCAGCGGCCATGGCTCACGGGCCCAGCTGCTCCATGGCATGTGGTATCTTCCCGGACCGGGGCACGAACCTGTGTCCCCTGCATCAGCAGGCGGACTCTCAACCACTGCGCCACCAGGGAAGCCCCTCAGATCACTTTTTTTAAAAAAATCTGATTATTAGAGTAATATTCCTGTTGTGAAAAATACAGAAAAGTGTAAAGAAGAAAGTATCATTCATCCATAGACCCATCCCTCTAGTAAGTCTTCACATCTGGGCCTGTTTCCTTGCAGTCTTTTCCCGTTGTGTATGTGTATGTACGTAGGAAGGTCCAGAAGTGGAGGAAAAACAGCTTATAGTGGAAGTCACACTGTATATTCAATTTTCTATTTTAATTGTATTTCTAAATTACATACTACATGCTCATTATAAAAATTCTAAGCAATACCATATGCCATACCATACCAAAGTTCTGGTGCCCTTTTAGTGCCTCCCTATCCAGCCACTTCCCAGTGATAACTCCTCTTAAATATTTAAGGAAGAAACGAGCTTTAGTGCTCAATTGTAAATACTCAGTAAATAAGAATTTAGTGGTGGGTAGGGGTGGGTGTGGCAGTTGTAGAGTGGATTCTTCCCATCCCTTTTGTGGCAGACAGACCCTAAGTTGACCCCCAAGGATCTCCTGTCCATGCCTTTGTGTAATTCCCTCCTCTTGAGTGCAGATGGGACCCGCGACTTGCATCTGACCTATAGAATATGGCGGATGGAATAGGATGTCAGTGTTTTGATTTGGTTGCACTGTAAGGCAAAGGTGGTAGGTTGTCAGCTTCCTGATTACATTACATTATGTAAGATTCCATCTCAGCAGACTGGATTCTCCTTGTTGGCTTGATGAAGTGAGTGGCTGTGTTGAGGAAGCCCATGGGTCAAGGGATGGTGTGTAACGTTTAGGACCTGATGGCAGCCTCCAGCTGACAGCCAGCAAAAAGCTAGGCCCTCAGTAATACAGCTGCCAGGAAATGAATTCTGCTGACAACTTGCACAAACTTGGAAGGAGATTCTTCCCTAGTCAAGCCTCCAGATGAGACCTGGCCGACATCTTGATTATAGCCTTGTAAGACCCAGAACAGAGAACCCAGCTAAACTGTGTCCAGACTCCTGACCCACAGAAGTTTCGAGATAATAAATGGGTATTGTTTGAAGGTGCTAGAATTGTGGTAATTTGTTACACAGTGATAGGAAACAAATACACCTTTTCTATGCATTTCCATGCTGTAGGGCTAGGACTCCTTGGGTGCAAGCAACAGGCACCAGCTCAAACTGGTATAAGAAAAAGGAAATCTATAGGTTCACCTGACTTCTGGCACGTTTAAATCCAGGTGCTCAAACAGTGTCAACTGGTATCTTTCTCTTTCCTTCTTAGTTCTCCTGTGTCAGCTTGACTCACAGGTAGCTACTCCCCAAAGATGACCACACTGCTTCGTTCACATCCTCTCAACCTGACAACCTCAGTGAAAAAAAGTACCACCTCTTCCCCACGGGTCCAGCAAGAGCCCTGGGGTAGATGTCCATTGGCTCTGGTTGGACTAACTGAAGACATATGCCCACCAATCCCTGGAGACAGATGGCTGTAGATGGCCCCCACATCCAAACCCCATGAACCAAAAGAGGGAGGGTAGGTGCCAAAAGAAAATAAGGGCGCTGCTAGTTATGCATGTTATAATCAGTGCAAATGCAATGATTACGAACAACAGCTGTCTGCCGTGGGTACGCGCATATTTGTACATCCAGATGTACACACAACTTCATACCCTACTTTGATGACATAATAGTATCGGACAGTATTGTAGTAAATACCACCCACATTATTTTTTGCCTATGTTTTTCAAAATAAACATGAAAAACTTTATACTCACGGAAGAGTTGAAAAGACAACACAGTGAATATCCATATGCCCTTCACCTAGATTCCCCCATTGTTAACATTTTGCACCATCCGTTCTCTCTTTTTTTTTTTTCTCTGAATGACCTAAACTTAAATTGCAGACCTCATGGCACTTCATCCCAGGATAGATCCCAGCTTGGGTCTGAGAAGAGAGGCAGAGTCTCCTATATAACAAGAGCACCATTGACACAGCCGATAAATTTAACATTGTGCAAGGATATTACCTAATATCCAGTCCATATACACATTTTTCTAATAGTCCAAAAAACGTTCTTTGTAAGCTGTTTAAAATTGTTTTCTGGTCTAGGATCCAATCCAAGATTACATTGGATTATCCCATTCCCCCCCCACACCCTGGTCCCTTTCATCTAGAACAGCCCTTTCTCCTCCGCCCCTTTTTTAGTCCTTCTTGTTTTGATATTTTAAAAAAAATTTTTTTACTGGAGTAGAGTTGATTTACAATGTTGTGTTAGTTTCAGGTGTACAGCAAAGTGAACCCGTTATACATATACACATATCCACTCTCTTTTTTAGATTCTTTTCCATGTAGGTCATTACAGAGTAGTAATGTAGTAATTGAGTAGAGTTCCCTGTGCTGTACAGTAGGTCCTTATTTGTTATCTATTTTATACATAGTAGTGTGTATGTGTCAATTCCAATCTCCCAGTTTATCCCTCCCCACCCCAATATTTTGAAGAGCGTGGGCCAGTTACCCTGTAGAAAGACAAACAACATGGATGTCTGTTTCCTCACAATTCGATTCAGGTCCCACATTTTGGGGAGGAATTCCTGTACAAGTGATGTCAGGTCAGCACATCAGTCCCGGAGCCACAGAATGTCAATGATGCTAAGTTGACCACTTAGTTAAAATGGCTCCTGCCTGGTCTCTCCATCATAAAAGCATATTTTTCCTTTTTTTTTTTTTGGTAATAAGTATTTTGTGGAGTGATACCGTGAGACCATGCAAATACCCTTTTCCCCAACAAATTTTCAGTGGTTTTAGAATGCACTGTCAAAAAGAAAAAACAAAACAAGAATGCACTGGTGATCCTTGCCTGAATTATTATATTGGTGGTTACAAAATGATGATTTTATAAATATATCATTTTTTTCTACCGTTGTTAGCTGGCCATTTTCTTTCCCACCACTCTTTTTTTTTTTTAAATACTATCACTGTGTACTTATGAATTCTTTTTTAAAAAATTATTTGTGGGCTTCCCTGGTGGCGCAGTGGTTGAGAGTCCGCCTGCCGATGCAGGGGACGCGGGTTCGTGCCCCGGTCCGGGAGGATCCCACATGCCGCGGAGCGGCTGGGCCCGTGAGCCGTGGCCGCTGAGCCTGCGCGTCTGGATCCTGTGCTCCGCAACGGGAGAGGCCACAACAGTGAGAGGCTCAAGTACCACAAAAAAACAAAAAAACAAAAAAAACACTTATTTGTGTTGAAATCCAGTGTGGTCATTATCCTTGTTGATAATTAAACTGTCCCAGGTTTGGCTAGGGGGAGCCCCTTCAAGCCAGCTCTGGCGTCCTTTCCACCTGTCCCCCTTTGGTGCACATCTTTGCTTTCCAGCATACCAAGATGTTCCAGTCTAATCTGGAACATTCCTTTCCTGGACCTGGAATCAGCCATTTCTGCAAAAAAGGTTCCTTTTCATGGAGAAAGATAGAAAGCAAGATCTCGACATTAGGACCTTCCAGACAATTTTTCAAGTTGCTAACCACATAATATTTCCAGTAACTGGTTGGACCACCACTTAACTATTCCATTAATACTGCGTACTTTGGAGGGAAGGAATCTTTCACTATTCAGAATAACACTGTGATGAAATACCTTGTGCATAAATACATTTTTTGAACTGAGTGCCTTAGGACACATTCCAGAGGGGAGTCACTGGGTTAAAGGTAGAGGCACTTTTCCGACACGCTGTGCAAGTCACCCAACTGCCCTCCAGAGAGGCAGTAGCCAGCTTGCCACCCACCAGGAGTAGACCAATTTCTTAGTGCCTTTTCACCTGCAGCAAGTATTAGAATAAAAACGAGAGAGCAGTTCTTAAAATCCAATGGAGAGCACGGTATCTCATTGGTTTAATATTCATTTGACTACTGGTTAGGTTGAATATAATCAGGTAGAACATTTTTCATGTTTATTATTTGAATATGTTTTATAAAATCAGGTCATTTTAATGGGAAGACTCAGTAAAAGAGGAACTGCGTGAGTACTGTCTAGGTTCTCGTAATTTCTAGATAGTGTATGTGTTTGGTATGATCGCCAAGTGGGAGGGGGACAGACTCTGCTGGGGTCACCAGCAAATGAGGCTCAAAGACCCGAGGCCCCCAGCCTCTGGTCAGTACCTGCTGCAGCACCCAGGGCACCCCCAGGTGACCAGTGCAGCACCCTTCCCTGTGTGCAAAGCCAAGTGGGGAATCACAGCCACAAAGGAGCCCTTAGTTCCTGCCAAACAGCTCTATAAGCCCCAATTGGTGGCCTTCACCCCAAGGATTTTATTCTTAGAGGTCAGGGCGGCTATCAGAAGGAAGCAGCATGCCACCCGGGGTTTGACTCACTTCCTTCGAGGTACTGATCAACAGTAAACATTAGGGAATGCTGGAAAGCAAAGGAGAGAGCTTGTCACCAACATGAGAGCATGCAATGCCACCATTTGTGGCTGAACGATTAAGTACATAGCCAGCAACAGGCCATCTGCTTCCAACCAAGCATCTATAGACAGAAGAGCTTTGATCCCATGCCAGCTAGTCACAGGTTTAATACCACCATTGTTTCAAAGTAGTGAATGAGTGTAAACAATATTTCAAGATATCTGCAGCAACTGTAATGGGATATCAAAATATCTGTGACTTCCACTGGAAACATATTCACAGGTATAAAATTGTGGTTGGTTGTCTATATTCATAATAAAAGGAAAATGCTAAATTTTATTCAATAATAAAGAAAATAATGATATAACTTTCCCCATTTAAGTTCATGGGTCCCCTGAATTCTATCCATAGACCTC